CCATTTTTCAGATGTCATTAAAAACGAGTTTCAACACTCGACAGTTTGAGTTTGGCGATGAGGGGTTTAATGGATTGTATGGTGATTTATATCCACAATTAAAATAATATTTATTTCCAGCCCATTTGAATGCAGTTCTTGTAACATCAACGCATAGTTATTTGTAGAATGTTTGGTTTGTAAATCATTTAACAAGTATACAAAATATAAAAACATTTTTTGGTAACTAGAAATAACATGATAATCAGAATATAATACTCTGTAGTGGTCATAGTTTGATCTACAATGATTTAAAATTAGAGGTACGTAATTTCTAGTGAATCTGTTTGGAGCAGAGAAGTTTAGTCGACTACCAAATCGGGGCTATCAACTACCAAATAAGATTACAAATAAAGACTGATCCAAGCATCGTTCTGCAGTTGACTAGATAAGGTTAATTACGTACTTCAATTATGAGGTAATAAAAGGTTTGCAACCCAATTTAGGCTTCATAACACAAGCACTAAGAAGTTTTTTGAACCGATTCTATGCTTTCCCAGTGAACTCCTTATTGTGGACTCCAAACAGGTTATCCATACTCAAGAATCCGACGGACTCGCGAAATGAATAAGGTTTTTGTCATGTAAGGATCATCAAATTCCTTGGACCACCTTTTTAGAAAACCAATCACCTGGCCTTACTGGCAATAGAAGAAATATGATCTGAAAACTGTAGTTTAGGGTGCTGAAGAACACTTAGATCACCAACTCGCGGTTTTCTGTCCAAAGAACACCCACTTATAGTGTAAGTCGCGTTTATTGGGTTGACACCACAAAAGGTCATAACCTTACACTTGGAGCCATTTAAGTTTAGTACGTTATCACGACATTATTAGTCCGAATGGCAAGAAATGTCTTATAATACAGGCATAATTTAACATCGTGTGCGTACATAAGTACACGCGAATGTTTAATTACTAAGGGAAGGTCTTTAATAAGTAGGTTAAAAACGCCCTTATGGAATGCCGGATGTGACTTGGAGAACACCAGAAAGAGAATTTTTAAGGACGTCCTGTCATTCAAATAACCTAAAATCCAGTTTAAAAGATCAACCGGGAACCTAAAAAATAAAGTTTCCTTACCAAAAGTGAATGATTAACAGAGTCAAGTGCTTGACCAAAGTCTGTGTAACTGACATATGCTTGAAGATTATATTTTTTATTATTTTATTATTATTACGAAGAAAGTTAGCTTCAAAATGTTAGTGGTTATTGATTGATATAGTGGTTAAACCGTGCCGACATGATATACATAATTGACCTACAAAGGTGCTGAAAATGGAGAGAGATAACATTTTCAAAAAGCTATGGGATAGCCGACCATTTAGAGATACATCTGTAATTGCTGCCTTCAATTCGTTACATTTTTATGACCGGCAATTGCCTGATCCGATGTTAGTACCTACAATGCAGATTAAAGAAATTAAACAATTGCGTAAATAGTTCTTGTGACACTGAGTAACACTTAAGCATTTAGAAAAGATAGATTAGGAGCCGGTATCCATAAACTTAGTATAAATTCTGGACTTTAACTTAAGACTACTAAGACTTTAACACTTTTCTTGCCAATTTCCATCGACATTTTCGATTTTCTCCTTCGAATTGCAACCGCTGACTAACGGGTATCTGATAGTCGAGCAAATAAAGTATAGCGCTCTCTTGATTTAATTTATAGTTGGCGTTTATAATTACAGCAATATACACATTAAGCCTAAATAAAAGAGGCTTTTGAGCATCAATGTCTAGCTATGGCTTTTTTAGCTCACTATACTAAAATTATATTTAATGGAAAGATGATATTTATATAAAGCGTGTGCCATATGAATAATTAACATTTCACAGTTTTTCAGCTTGTTGTTTCTTTTCAAAGCTTCTGCCTGTCAACGCCGCGGCGACAATTTAGTGATTTAAATTGATTTATGTAACTAGAAATAAATAAAACCGGCAACACACCGCCGTTGGCCTTCTTCTTAACTGTTCGCTCTGGGCCACGCTAATTAAATTTAATTTCCCACTGATTAAACGCATTTGTTTCGACGTTTTCCAGCTTTCTGGTAGTTTTGACAGCTCTGCCAGGTACTTCTCCTCCACCTTGAATTATTAATTGGGTGATTGATTGCTACACTCGACGTGTGGTTCATGGCAGCCCCCCTCGAATTTCTGCGCTTCGTTTGTTTCGCATTAGCAGCAAGTGAAGTCCGAAGCGCAACTCCGCGGGGAGCTAACTACTCGATGAGGAAGCAGCTTTAGTTTTTTATTTATTTGCGGCCTATTTCGGCGTGAGAATCGCTTTTTTCTGGCCTCTTTCTCGGCTCTGCCCCTCTAACAATTGTTGTCTTCAATGAACTGGCTTGATTAGCTTCGTTGCCGCGGTGTCAATATTAATGTAATTTGTTGCTGCGAGGAGAAATGGCATGTTGTTGGCGTTATTTGGAAGTTTAAGAGCGCTGGCTTTAAAAAATCGTAAATTTTCAATCTATTTTTTTTTAAATACCCCGGAGTACAACTATCTCAAATCATTGATCATTCAACCTTAACAGAAACATATCAAATTCGAAAGTGGTTGAAAACCAACTAATCAGAAATATATAATAATTGCGCTGCTAGACCCAACATTTTTCAGCAAATTATTGGATTTAATCTTTTTAGAAAATCTCATTCGGCAGTTAGTGACAATGTTGCCAGATGGCCGGAATCCGAAACGGTTGCTTGCTTAACTATGCGACACATAGGTGGCGGCGAAGCGATTCAACTGCTGGCGCCATCTGTCGGGCACGGCTTGCTGCTCAAATATCCATCAACAGATGGCGCCACCAAATTGATTACTGTCAAAAGCTAATTGCCGTGAGGATAGAAAAATATTTTATTCCATTAAATATTTTATGTCAGTAAAGTGCGGAGCATATTCAATTACTTTTGCAATCATAAAATTGCAAACTAGATTTTTTTCAAGCAACTACTTTTACCAGAAAATGACAAACAGAATATCCCTTTTAAACATCGCCAAAAAGCAAAAACCCCCCGAATTAAATAACTATTAAGCCTTTATATTAATGAATTGATTTATGTGCTGCCTACTTCCGTTTCAACAAATGTTTTTACATGTAATTGAGCCTCATAATAATCCGCTTATTTATTCCGAGTTTCAACACCCGCGCTGCGCATTTTCGTCGGCCATTATTGCTGGCCAAATGACGAGGTAAATGCCTTTAATGCATTCGCTCAAAGTCCAAAGCTCACAGCCCTCCCGCCAACCAATATTCAATTAAAAATAATAACAACATCCGGGCTAATGTTCCCGGCTATTTTCGTTAAGTAATGGCCAGCGAATTTCTATTGGAACGAGCATTTTCAAATGCTCCACGAGGAGGATGCCAATGGAAAGGGAGGCATTCGGCAGTTTGCGGGCTGAAAGGTAATCCACAAATGTTTTCAGACGCGAACAAATTGGGGCCAAAAATAATTAAGCAAATTGCATGATGTTTATTAATAATTTATTCTGTTCGGGAGGAATATGCAAGTTCATGCGGCAAATCAGGCGAAAATCAATGTAATTAGCATTCATTTTGGATACAAATAATGCAGTCGGGTTTCCCTTCCGCTTCAAATTCCCAATATTTGCATAAAATCCAGGCCTTCTGCTAAAGTCCAAAGTTGGTAAGCCGCTTCAGTGCTACTTATTTTTCCATAACAGGAAAAATATTTGCTTTCAAACACCCAAATCGAATCGTTCCTTTATTACAGTGCAGTGCAACTAATTGAACACACTAAACACCGCTCCTCATGGAATCCTAGTAATCGATTGTGTATGATAATTAGTTACTTATCTAATGGGCAATTAAAACATCGCCAGATATTATATTTCGCTCTTGTTCCTTCGAAGCTGAAACTGGATAGCCAGACTTCCCCTTTTTCCCATTGTTTCTTGAACAAGAGCAGGAAATGAGATTTAAACTTTACCAAATTAGCCGGTAACTTGTGTTTACATCCACAAGTCCTGTTTGCGCATCTGTGTTCTACTACTCCTGATGCCTTGGGCTGCGAATTCCGCTCGGGAAGACCTTGGTGTTAATGCATCTAATTAGCTCGTTTCCAGGCAGCTCGCATCCCTGCACTTGAACTATTGACTGATTGTTGGCGCATTTGCATTTGGAATACAAGGCGCGTGGGAGAAGTGAGATACTTGCTTAATCGCTGGGACAGCACTGCATATTTTGTGTCCATTAAAAGTGCTTGGGCTACATTGGGTTTAGCCAGAGTGATCGCCTTACTGAATGCCATTCAAGCAATCACTGCAGTGAGTGAAACACGATTTTTAACTTACTAGGGCGATTTTTAACTCTGTCAATATAAGCCATCAATTTATCCAGCCATAAAGAAAGCCAAAGATATCCTTGCGGCGTAAGGATATTTGACGGCTGGTGACCATATTTCATATCGATAGCTCAGCCGTCTCATTTATTATGCACCATGAAGTGTTTTCCCCTGGTAAATCCACAAAAAAGCGGGCAGGCAACCTGAACCGAAAATTTCAAAGGTCACTGCTCAACATTTTTTACGGCCTAGAGGAGATTGCCCCCAAAGCCGGCGGTTCATCCAGTTGGCTGAGAGCTTCTGGCTTTCTGTAAGAGGCAGTGCATGTTGCCCTGTCAAACGCTCCGTTGAACTCTGCTTTTCGGAGGAGGCGCCCAAAGTGGCTTCCTTTCTGCGGCTTCCATTTGGACACCTTTGCCGGGACTTAACGGCGCGTTTAGGACACCAGGACACCAGGACGCCAGGACGCCAAATGCCGCAGTGTCTGGGCCGGAAGTGGAGGCACCAGGCATCATTAGGCAGTGTCAACAAGCGGATTGCCGGGTTGGCTGGCATCCAGATATCCAGTCCAGATACTAGAATTGCAGGCGGTATTGGCATGGAAATTAGTCAGTGTGGAACGCGATACACGTATTTTTATGGGGCTTTATTGATTTTTAAAAAATTATGCTTAGACGCTAGCTACTAACAAATTGTCCATTAACTAACGTAAATGTAATTAACCATTTGCTTCGTTTATGACTCATACTTTAATACATATTACAATGTTATGCTTAATACTTTCATTTTCTGTACGGTTGTGTAGTTGCTAGTAAATGCAGAAATATGAAATTGGTTTGATCAACACTCGTATTTGGGACCGTCTTCGTCTTCGTCTCCGGCTTGTCGTTAATTAAATGTAGGTTTAATTGTTGTTAATTAGTCTATTAGTGGTTTTGTTTTCGTTCTATGCTATAGTAGCCGTTAATTTAGTCGTAAGATTACAGAATTGAATATGTACAAAATTATGTTACAGTAGAGCTTCCCCATTTACCTTCAATTTTCACCAAAGTTAGTTATGATTTCGTACTTTTATTAAATTTCCACCTCGCTCTGCAAACTTTTGTGGCTGCGTGGGTTCGGTGGCAGCTTTCACCGCTGCTTTTCAGCTGCCACCTGGCTCGGTGGCCATCGGACACGTTCCCCAGTCGGCGGCACACAAATGTTGCAACGCTCAACATTTTCAGTTGGCCGAATTCCGGCTTAGTTTGGTTCAACTTACGTGCTACAGAGTTAACGGCGTATTTATAGTACATGGTCTTTAACTAACGTATAGCAAGTTTCATAAACTCTTTTTCATTGTAGTATGCTTAGTGTACTCGTGTAATTTAATTCGATTTCTCAGTTGGTTCAGTTGAATATCGTCCAGAAGATGTGCTTTGAAAGGCCAGGGAAAGCTATAAGCTTTCCAGTGGATTAAGCGTAGTCTTAAAGTTTTAAAAACTCGCTGAATAAACAATACATAACTCGATAGTTCTTTAAATCAGTTTCAACAGACTCACACATTTCCCAATAGTGAAATTTAACAGCGCGGATTATTTTCCTGATAAATTGGTGAATAGATAACAGAAGGCCTCAATCGAGGCGTTTGAGCAAATAGTAAGGGAAGTGACTCCTCGCATCCGTGAGAAACACCTAAAACCTTAAGTTAGTCGTAAATTCCACAGTTAGCCACATGTACATACAATTAACCTAACCAGACACACGAACACACAAAACACCTGCTTCGTCTTGAGGATTTCCCCATCATCGTGCTTACAGCTGAAACATCATTTAACTACAACTTAACTATTTATTTTATAATACAACTTTGTCGACATCGGGCAGTGGCACCAGCCCACTGCTACCGCCGCCGCCGCCGCCTCCAGGACCTGCTCCACTTCCCGTTGCCACCACTGCGAGCACATTGCCTGGCGTCCCAACTCCAGAGCCGCCTCCTCCGCCTCCTGCGCCACCGCCTCCCAGCGGTGATGGTGATGGTGATGATGATGAGGCTCCAGGTCCAGGTCCAGGTCCAGGTCCAGGTCCATCTCCAGATCCTCCTCCGCCATCCGACGCCAACTGGTGGGCTTTCGCCTTATCGTGCACGTACATGGCGGCCAGGGCATTGAAACGTGGACCCCAGTTCTGTAGATAGTTAAAGTCTTGATTCTCATCATCGGTGCCTGGAAATGCACGGGGGAGAGCAGTGAGTTTAAGCGGTTGCTGCGGAAAGTGGGGCGGGCAAGGGATGTGTCGGAAATGGCCGTAAAATTACGACATTTGATTGAACTCCGAATCTAGTTTGTGCTCAGGGTGATTTTAAGTAGATTTTAAAGGGGAGACGGCAGTCAAGTGGCAATTTCAATTTAACTTTCAAGCCAAGGGAGTTTTAAGGCATTCAAGAAAAAACGCTTCATATTATAAGCACAGCATGCTATTGGAAAACACACTTATTCATTGGCTCCTTAAGAAATTAATCTTAAGTGTGCTCGCAATCGAAGTAATGAAGTTCCCTGAACTTGAGGCTCTTGAGTTTCAGCTAGGACTTGCTTAGAGGGCAGAAAACATAGAAGGTCCTTACCGGAGGCCAGCGAACTCAGCGACTCGGCGATGCTGCCGCTGCCCTCGAAGGTGAAGTTCCGCAGGTCGTCGAAGGGCGGCGCGTTGTTGTCCTTGTCGATGCGCTGCTTCCGCTCCTCCATCAGATAGGCCACGTTCAGCTCCTGGCCAGGTGGCAGCAGCGTCATCACGGGGTCTAAGTGCAAACAACCGCCCAATTACTTGGCCATGTCCCACTCGGGATTGGGGATTCGGAGGGACTGCGTTTACTCACAGATTATGGGCATCTTGCAGGCGGCGATGTCCGGCGGTTCTCCCTGGGCGCTGATTGGTATTTGCAGTGGCGTGATGTCGAAGGCCGTCATGTCGTCCTCGCCGCCGCCCTCGTCCTCGTAGCTGATTACCGTCTCGCGGACATCCTTCTCGGGTCCTGAGCGCTTCTTCTTCTTGGTCGTCTTGCGTTTGCGGCTATAGAGCACGAAGATCAGTGCGAGGACTGAAAGGCAAGTGGAAAACACGGGTTAATTGCCTGCTTCCTGACTCCTGATTCCCAGTGCGAAACATCACATTTTCGCTGGCTAAACACTAGAAAAGTATTACTACTCAATGGCTGCAGTTGTCATGTACCTTCAATTTAAGAGATAATTGGAATTTATGAGTTAGACCAGTTAGCTAGTAGCCTTTACTCTAATTAGTGATTTTAAGCCTGCAGAAAAATGGGTTATAATATAAAATATAATTCCACTTTGAGCTGCGCAGTTATATTATCATTTGAGGTATTTATTCTCTTTCCCATGTTTTTTTTTAATCTGCCTCATCTAAACTAAACATTTTTGAACTCTATTCTCTATTCTTCTATTCCTGTTTTCCCCTGTTTTCCCTTTTTTCTTTTATTAAAATCCCCCTCTCCCCCTGCTTTTCTTTTTTGCGCAATAGAAAAATAAACTGAAAGTGTGCAACAATAACTTGAAGCAGGAATGAAAGTCTGTTGGGTGTCTGTTAAATGTCAGTTCCACAACAACAGCTTCATTTTCATTTAATGAAGGTAATTAAATGTAGGAAAAATTGTTGTCGTTTTTTGCTTTCGCGTCCCACACTTCAGCCAAGTATATATAAAAATATAAAAAGCACACTGAAACTTTTTGAATATGAAAGGTTGGAATGCTTTGTAACCTTCCCAAACTTTATATTAAAATTTATTTTAAAAAGAGTGTAAAACGAGAGAAAAATAATTTCGGCTAGCCGAGGCTAATATAACTTTACAGTAAGGAAATATTAAAAAAGAACTGTGTTACCAAATGAGAACCCTTTATGTTTAACATTAATTAAAATATAAATGTCTATTGTTTTCAAATAATTTTGTGATGTCAAAGCAATTGAACTGTGTTACCAAATGAGAACACTTATGATTGCAAATTAATTAAAATATAAATGTCTATTTTCAAATAATTTTGTGATGACAAAGCGAAATTGTATATTGGCAAAAATTGGTATATACCTTACTAAAGCTCTTTCTGTTTAAAGCCAACCAAGGTACAATTTATTTTTCGATTATTTATATTTATACCTTGTATTGTCGCACATCAATTTAATGGCCGAAATCAATATGCCCTCTGCAAATGTTTTATTGAAATTTAAATTGGTTTAATAAGGGCGTGGCGCCAGCAAATAAAGCATTAGAAATTTGAGAAGATAGTGATCACAGGACCGCGTTCAGTGCCATCAATTACAGGAAATCAACTCGCCAGTAGAGAAATGCTTCATGCTCGGTCCTTATAAATGAACTTTGTGCCTGTCTCTGCGAAAGTCAGCTGGCAGTTATTGCAACTAATGAATCCGCTTAGCCCAGAAGAAATGCTGGGGCATTAAAGACCAAAAAACGGGGTTGGGCCATCCCAAGGAAACATTCTTGGCTGGCATGTCATTTTGGAGAAGTCGTGCCAGAGTTTTAATTATTTTTACTTATCTGTTTGCTTAACCCCACAGTGCCGGAGCCCAGTTAATATTGCTGTCAACTGAAGCGCAAATGATAAAATGCAAGTCTACGAGTGGGCTTCTCTTTTTGCGGTCCTCTTATGCCCTTTCAAAGGGCATTTCGACTACCGCCATCAGTTTGCAACGCATTCGCTTTCATTTACGTATGTGTAAAATCTTATCGCCTTATCGTTTGTCCGTCTGCCCGAAAACGAATCTCATAGATTAAATGCTATCTATGCTTATTCGATTATTTCCTAAAGGGAATTTGAGCTGCGGCTTGCCGAAACTAGAGTCCTTTCTTGTTTTTGTGTTTTCCGAGAAAACCCGACAAACAGAAGGCGAGTGCTTGGGAGTTTCCGAGAATATGTTGCAGTGGCTGAGTGGAGGAACTTATTAATAACTTTATGCTACTTAAGCAAACTAAAGTATAAAGGCAAACGCAGAAAGGACACCGAACCTAACAAGTTTCCATGCCACAACGACTCGGAGTCACTCGAAATGTGCATTTGCAATGCGAATGTTTTTGGCCGACTTGTAATCCGCTTAGCTGCAAATGACTGTCAAAGTGGGGACCACTATGTTATCCATCCATCGGAACACCCACTGCCATACCACCCGATTCAAGTCGTCCTGTGTCTTTGGGAGCTGGAAAGTTTAATGCAACAATTACAGCATAAAGTTGCAACAGCAGCAGGACACAAAACCCAAAGCCACAACCGAGTACGGAATTGAACCGAAAATAGTTTACTACCAGTTCTTGGCCATGGCTTGAAGTGCATTAAATTTGTCTCTGGCCGCAGAAAGGAGCGACAAAACTTTCTAAATTATCTTGCCGCACAAGTTTTGCTATTAATGTGCCACCCCAGCCAGAAAGATCCAACGGAAATCTTCGATAATTCGTCCAAAAGCGAAGCACTGCAAATCTGTTTTCGAAACTCTCGCAAATCAAAGAAAATTTCATAAAGTTTGATCATGAGCCAGCACTGTTTTTAATTGTTTTGGCCGACGTGGAAATTTGCGGTTGAGCAAGGGGAAAAAGAGTAATATCCACCTGTTTTTAGAACTTAATTCCATTATTAACACAATTAAACTGGCAGTCCAACGCTAGAACGTGCCTAATAAATATTTTTCGACCAGGGAGAGTTATGAATTTAGTTTCCCGTTCAAACGTGCTGAAAAATCCAACTGGGCGGCAAAGCAGTTAACTTAATTACAAAGCTGGCCGATCTGCTGCTTCAAATTTCACCAAAAATACCTCATGAAGCCCCATTTTAAAGATTGCAGCTTGGGATAGATGGCCCAGTGTTTTGCTAAGCAGGCCAGGGCCAACTGTTCATTCATCAACCTTTAATCAACATTACCTCCGACAAGAAAAATAAAACAAGAACCAGAGCAGGAGCCCCAAAAACTGCTGCACAACAGCCGGAGGAGAAGGAAGAAGGGAGCAGCATCGTCTAACCTACATAAAAACTAGCAGAAACAAAGCCAAAAATATCCTGTAAGATGAACAAAAGCCTGGAAGGACCGAGAGCTCTTTAACGGCCTTTGTTTGCACTTAACTGTAAAAGGACCAAGGACCGGGTAATATCTTGTTGCTGCCTGGCCTGAACCTGCTGACCAGGTCAGCTCATCAAGCTGGTAGCTCCCCAAGCTGGTGCTTGCTCCACTCGGCCACTTGAAACCTTATGCTAAAATACAGTTCAGCGATTCACAGATTACACTGGAGCATCCTGAGCTGCTGCGCACGGACAGGACATGAAAAAGCGTCGACTGTAAATAATGCTGAATAATTATTTAGTTTGTTTTGCCACCAGCTCCGCACTCCGCCACTCCGGAACTCGGCAACTCGGCAACTCCGGAACTTTACGCCACTTTACGGCGAATCAACACAAACTGGGGAGGACAGGACTGCGGCTGTCAGATTTGATGTCTTCGGCTCTCAGATATTTTCACATCATAAAAAATTGAAAGGACGCGCAGTTGGAAGGACTCGCCGTTTATTTATTGCGCCTATTTTGCGGTTTAGCGGTTTTATGGCCACTTTAGGCCTTTGTTTTCCCGCCCGCAGCCAACTGTGTAATTATCTGCCTTAGCAGCGACTAATTAGCTCAGTCCTGGCCTTTCTTCCTGCCTGTATTGTGCCCAGCTGCAGCTTTGGCGCAAGTACTCATTAAAGTTGGCCCAAACGGCGGGATAAATCAGCGTCACTTTTAAATGTGGCCCAAAGTAACTGGCCTACGGCGAAAGAGCCAGAAATATATATGTGTGTGTGTGTGCTTGGATAAAAGCCACCCGAAACAGGGCCCAAAGTGTGGCGCTAATTGAAAATCCCTTCAAATCCCAGACGAGCTGGCGAAACGAAAATAGATTGTCGTGCATTGCGTGCGCGTGCGAGAAAACGCATTTGCATTGGCCTGGCCAATGCGGAGTGGGAAAAATAACCGAATGGCCAAAGCCACTTAACACTCGTTCGCCAAATCCATTAAGTGGCCCGAGTTTTGCGAAACTTTATTCTATTTTCTGCGATTTTTTCAAGCAATAAATTGTCCTAATTGGCTTGGCCAGCTAAAAATGTTAGTTTTACTTTACGCTTAGGTTCAAATAAATATCTGATTAAATATATGGTTTTAAATTGTTATCTTCCCTGTCTTGGTCACCAATTGCTGTTTTTTGTTAGAGTACATGTGATGAAAGGCTTTTTGTTTACGTCTTTGAAATTGCCCAGAAAATTGGTACAAGCTCTGCAGGCAACACGAAACTTTCCTGCACTTTTTGCCAAGCTTAATTAGCCACTATGCAAATATTTTCATGCTCCTCTTTCCGCAGCTAAACTAACAAATTGCCCCTGTCTGGGCACAAAAAAGTGTTGCAAAAATAAAGCAGCGAATACAAGATTTGTTGCCACTTTATGTTGTTGAAAATGCATGGCTGCCTCCCATGTTAACCCTTACCTTTTTTATTTTTTTAGCCCCACACGGCCGCGACTGTCCAAACAGATGTCAGTGTCGTTGTATTTTTTGGTTCTGGGTTCTTTTTTTCGGCGAAGGCGGGTTTCCCCCAGCAAATTGCATTAGCAGGGCAGAAGTGTGTGTTTTTGGGCGGGGCAAAAATGTTGCAGCTTAAGCTGCTTAATTGTCACACATGAATGGGAAAATAAGGCGAGCCGCTTAGCGACTCGGGGGAGGGGCTTCTGGGCGGCAGATCCCACTCAGTCTTCACTTGCGGTCACCCCCACTCTACTTACTCAGTATGATAATCAGGCAAACGAATATGGCGCCCAGGGCGCCCATGCTCAGCTTCAGCCGCTGTCCCTCCTGCACCAGCTCGCAGTTTTCGCCCCAGTAGCCCTCCGGGCAGATGCATCGATACCGCAGCCGGGGCTCCAGATTGATGCAGGTGGCTCCGTTCAGGCAGGGCAGGTCCAGGCACTCGTTGCGGTCCACGCATCCCTTGGTGTCCGAGGACATGATGCGCCCCTCGCTGCAGCTGAAACGAGAAATTAGGCGGACGCGGGAGTTATTACCAATTCAGAGCCACCAGGACTTCCTCCTCTAAGTAACTAAATGACTAAGCACGGGAATGGGAGGGAAATGTCGCCGGACTTCTATGTTCCTTTTCTCCGACACTCGGGGGAAACTCAAATAATATTTGGCAACACAAAATCTGCTATATTTCATATATTATATACATATACCTACTATATTTATTTATGAAACAATATTAGCAATTAAGGTAGGTGTTAAATACGAGCCTAAATAAATGGAAACATAAAAATTTAAGACATTGACAACTAATAATACTAAGAGCTGGAACACACATGTATATTCCGAGTCGGTAATTTTGCATTTCGAAACAAAAGCGTCATTTTAAAACAAAAAAATTTAGTGCTGGCTCCCAAAATCACAAGCGGAACATTGTAAAGTGCGCTTTGTTCGGCGCATTTCCCCCGAAATAAAACTTTTTATTTTCGCACAAAGTTGTGCAACCGAGGGATAGAATAATTTCCCCCATGAGCTGGGGCCCTCTCAAATATTTTGCAAAGCGCATTAAGGGCGTGAAGTTTTGGTTGGACTGGAATCCCTGGACAGCCCAGCGATGGGGAAATTAAAGCTTAAAGCGCGCACACACTTTGCACATTTAAATTGAAGTCATTCCGCATTCCCATTGAGGACAGCTCCTTGTCCGACAACTTAGTGTCCTGAGTGAGTGACACAAATTCCAGCAGAGCACTGCGTGAACTGCTGCCCACAACTGCTGCCCACAACTGGCAGCGAAATTGAGGCTAAAGTAAGCATAATTTATGACACGTCGCCACCTGAAGACGAAGCGTGTGACACTATTTAAATTTCTCCATTTCTCCCAAAAAATCAAAGGGAGAGGACCACAAGGACCTTCCGTCGTCCTGGCGAACACGTGTTAAAAAGCAGCAGGCCCAGATGCTCCTGTTCCCGAAAGCAAATGGAGCGAGAAGCTCACAGCTGGGGTGCTTAGTCTCCTCCCCCGAACCCCCGAATCCCCGAATCCCCCGAATGGCGGTGGAGCGACCAGGACATGATGCAGTGCCAGATTGAGTGTCCTCGCCGCTGTCGTCGGCTCTCAAATGGAGTCACTCCGCAAAACTAATGATGTGGAAAATGTGCTCTGCTCTCGGCGAGGGAACTGCCACTTTCATCGCCACATTCACATCCACCTCCGCCTCCGCCTTCACCTGTACTGCGACCCCATCCCATCATCGATGAGGTGTTGTGGAGCAGAAGCTGCAGGATCACGAGTCGTGCCCCAGATTTCCAGCCATACCCAGCCGGAAAAATGTGAAAATTTCCATGTGTAAACACTCGGAAAATACACATTTTTTCGAGCAATATAGTCGAACCGAGTTCGATGAACACGACGAAAGGAATTTTAAGCCTAGGACTTGGGAACTTTAACGAAAATTAGGGACTTCTAAAAAATATAATATTGATCAATTTTATTCCCTAGAATATATATTAAAGTATTAAGGGACAAATAAACACTAATCCATTAAAATAAAAATAAAATACTTTGTAAAGTTATTCAACTTCCATTTTAGCTATTCAATTATTGGCTTATAAAGTTATTAGGATATCTATCTATCTATCTATCTATCTATCTATCTATCTATCTATCTATCTATCTATCTATCTATCTATCTATCTATCTATCTATCTATCTATCTATCTATCTATCTATCTATCTATCTATCTATCTATCTATCTATCTATCTATCTATCTATCTATCTATCTATCTATCTATCTATCTATCTATCTATCTATCTATCTATCTATCTATCTATCTATCTATCTATCTATCTATCTATCTATCTATCTATCTATCTATCTATCTATCTATCTATCTATCTATCTATCTATCTATCTATCTATCTATCTATCTATCTATCTATCTATCTATCTATCTATCTATCTATCTATCTATCTATCTATCTATCTATCTATCTATCTATCTATCTATCTATCTATCTATCTATCTATCTATCTATCTATCTATCTATCAATCTATATCTATCTATATCTATCTATCTATATCTATCTATCTATCTATCCATCTATCTATATATCTATCTATCTATCTATCTATCTATCTATCTATCTATCTATCTATCTATCTATCTATCGTATCTAATCGGTACATTTTTCTCAGTGCACATTTCCACTCCTTGCGGTGCTGAGCTGCATGAGCGAAGGCAGACAGACAATGACAATTGATATTATTTGTTTTGCATTCGAAGTCAATTTGCTGTTTGCCATTGTCTGTGTGCCTGCAGTTGGAAAATGGCAGGGAGTCTTTCTCGGAAATAGACAGATATATAGCACTCCAGGTTGCTTTTAGCCTAATGGCGTTCAGTTCTCAAAGTTATGATTCCCCTGCACTTGACTCACAAGTCAAACAAGCAAAGAGTCTGCAGGGTAATTAGGTAAATTCGATCTTCTATTGTCCAATAAATAGTTATTTTATTTGCAATTGATATGGCCCCGCCCTAATTGCTACTTTCGGCCCGCCTTCAAAGGCGAACAAAGGGGCTATAATTAAATTGGAAGCCCAATAAATTACTGTGCCCAGTTCACAAAGGAAATGCTGAAAGAGCTATACTTACGTGCACTCGTATTCGTTCCACAAGTCGACGCAGTCAAAGGGATCGGGGCAGATGACATTCGAGCACGGCCTGTTCGAGGGGCAGTTGCGCTCCAGGTTGCGGGCCATCGTCGCCTGGCCCCATTGGGTGCCATTCATGGCGGGGGGCAGGGGCAGGTGTTTTCCATCCAGCCTGTGGGAGAGGGGAGGGGGAAATGGGAAAACTACGCATGAATGCCGGCAATCGATGGGCTATACACCTGAGTCCTTTCCTTTATCTTGGGTTAACAGATGCTAAAGTACCATTTATTTATTGCGTTCCTATTCCTTTCAATCGTAACTTAAAGCTTTACTATTCTTGTTCAAATTGAAATATAGTTTAGTTGGTTTTCTTTTCTTCAATGGCTCTAGCACTAAACCGCACAATTTTTACTCTTGTGTGAAATAGTCTGTTTCATGCAGCAAACGGACTCCTGTGAAAGGAGTATCGCTCTAATCAGCATTTGAGCTTACCTGATGTCGTCCAAGCAGCTTCTCTGAAAATCGGACTGCACCTCAAAGGTCTTGATTCCCGTGTACTCGGCCTTGCCGCCCGCATAAACACCCTCCTGCTTGTCGATGCTCAGCCACTGGTGTCCTGTGAAGTGAAAGGACTCGTTGTAGCGCCGCGACTCGCCGCCATCCAGTTCCATTAGAGCTGCCGATCCATAGCGACTAATGCGAATCACATGCCACTGGCCGTCGTTTACGGCGATTGCGGTGAGGGTCAGCAGCTGCTCCTCGTTTCTCATGGAGTTCAGATTGTAGCGGAACTGAAGGTGGCCCCTTCGAAGTTCCAGGATGGCGTACTCCCTGTGGTGCTGATCACTAACACGGAAAAGCTCGCCGCCCTGCTCTCGAGTTCGAAATCTCAGCTGCAGCTGGGTGGAAAATCTGTCGGGCTCAAAGCTGAGGGCGAATTTCACATAGCTCTGGGTCTTGAAAGTCGTCGGAATGGTGGGTACATTACAGCCAGGACCCATCCAGCCCGGCTGGCAATGGCACTTGGCCTGAACCAAGCTGGCCACACAGTTTCCATGCTCCCAACAGCGAGCTGTGTGCTCGGTTTTCAGGCAAACTTCGTCGGTCTGCGGACAGGCGGGAAAACTATTCCTGGCCAAAGCGGGAAATGCCAAATCATAGTGCTCCGAGTTGTGGATAACGTTGCGTATACAGCCATCGAAGCCCTTGGAGCTGAAGGCATACTGCCAATTGTACAGGGTCTGATCGAAGTGCTGTCTATAGAGTCCGCCCAGCTGAAGGGGCTGATTCAGATTTAGGGACTCGGCGAAGGGCGGAATTTGTCCCCTCGCCTGGCAGGCATTGTCATCGAATTCCGGCGGAGTGCCGTCCTCCATTTCGGAGACCAAAGCAGTGCGGCAGAAGTCCACAACCATGCGCACATTTTCGGAGTCCCAGAAAATATCCAAGCGATGCCAGACCCCATCGTCCAGGGTCTTCTTGGTCTTCACTCTCAGCTCCAAGGTGCCCGAGCCGAAATCGATGAGTAGTCGGGGATAGCCCTGCTCCAGTTCGATGGCTATAAAGTCGCTGATCACGGTTTCGTCCGGTTTTGGTGGGACAATGGGTCCATTGTATAGTATCAAGCCGTCGGGCACGCGAGTGATGAACTCCAAGCTGAGATGCGATTCCTGGCAGAGCTGCAGTGGAGGATACCAGGCCCAGCCATTGCCGCGAAAACTTCTCGTGGATTGCTGGCATCGCGGGCCATTGTAGCCCACCGGACAGGCCACACATTTCGGACCACTTCGGGTTTCCACACACCGACCGCCATTGTAGCACAGGTGGGTCCTGCAATTGTGATCCTGGTGGGTGAAGTTCCTCGACCGGCACACACACTGAGCAGTGATGTCCAAGCGCACACCCACCAAGGCCGTGCGGTTCACACTAACCGTATAGGGTTTTTTGCCCAACTCCACTTTGGAGGTGCAGGAGCTGGAGCCACACTTTCCTTTACCCTCGTGCAAGCATTCATTTATATTGACCATGGTGATGTTCAGGCCCACGTCCTTTTCGATCTCCTCACGATGCATTTGCACCACGCCATTCAGGCGTACTGCCTTGAAGTACGGCTGCTGAGTTGCAGAACGGGCTGCAAAGTGGACATCGGTCAGGGGATAGGGGGAGCCTTCCTTGAGTTGCACACTGAACACGTCCACATTATCTCTATCTGTGTACAACAGCTCGGCCAGCTTGTTGCGGAATCTCTCCAGCTTGGAGGGCTCCACTTGATTCTTAACCGGGTTCCAGGTTCTAACGAAATCCTCATCGGTTATGTGCGACAATCTCATGGACCCGGCCTGCTGAACGGCCTCTGCTGTTATGTCGCGCACTGTGACGCTGAGATTTGCAGGAATATCCTCCTGGCCATGCTCACGATCGTAGACCTTGAACCGCAGCTGATAGCGACCTCTCCTCGTCCCAGCGCGCATTGTTAGGATGCCAGTATCCGTATCCAGCTTGAAGCGCTGGTGCTCCTGCACCTCCCAGTAGTACTTCTTGTCCGGCACATCCCAGTCGTCGGGATCGTTGACGTAGACCCTGCCTATCGGCGTATCCTGCGACTGTCCTTGGTAGTTATACACCAACACGGACTTGCTGCCGGGCTGCATTTTGTTATCATTTACATCGCCGATGGTGACGGTCAGAGTACTGGTGCCCGTCATGGCAGGAGCGCCATTATCCTTAATCTCGATGGGAATGGCATAGCTCTTTTGCGCCTCGCGGTCGAAGGGGCGGAGGGATGAGATGATGGCCACCCCGTTTCCACTGTCACCTCCTGAAAGGACAATTTAAATTAGTTGCGAAAAACGTGAATTTAAATTATGAAAACATAAATGACAAAGTAACGAAATTCATGGAGAATAATGTTGACGATGAAAGCGAATCAGTTTTGAAAGCCCGCCAGATCGGAAACCGCGGTTCTGCACCACTGCATTTTCCAAACAAACCGGAAAACGCTAAAACCAAACAATGTGCAATTCGAAACTGAACCACTTTGCAACTTTCCCTCCGCGCTCGGCCCTCCATTCAATTCGATTCATTCGAGGCAATTGCCACACAATCAAAGTCGAAATCAAACGCTAAGCCAAACTGTGTTTGCATAGTAATGGTGATTGAATTATGTTCCAGACAATCAGCATCATCAGCATTGTTTGTGCCACAAAGTTAGTAACCAAAAAAAAAAAATGCACTGCAAAAGCCAACTGAGAGACAGAGAAATTGGTCGAAATGTGCCACAGAACCAGAGAATAGAAAGCGATGGAACTGTGGACAGGACTCAGCCTCGAGGCTTCATCTCGGTTGGAGCAGTTGACCATGTCCGGCAGGCTTTGTTTTCATTGCGATTTGGTGTTTTCCTTTATGGGTTTTCCCTAAGGTAGGGGTATATGCACGGGCCGAAGTTCTTACATGATACTGCGATTTTTTCGATTATTTTCTATCCCTATCTTGGACCTAGCAAGCGCATGAATGGAAAAATCAACGAAGTAAATTGAATCCTGTACAAAATTCGTGCACCAATCATTTTTGTAGTTTCAGTGTTAAGTTGTTTGCTTTCAGGTAAAAATTGGGCAGGAAAGGCTTGAGATTTTGCCACGTTTGGTTTGGCTAAGAAGCGGGCATATCAGTTTTGTAATTTTATTGAATTCAATATTATCTCATAGAATTTCCTTTAAAAATATGACATAAGTACGTTATAGTGTATTATTTAGTCAGCTTGACGCGGCAAACAACTCGCTTAATCTTGATTTACGATTTTTTCTCTGCTCTTCCCTTTTGTAAAATGGAAATTGCTCCACACTTTTTGTGAAGCCATTATTGGGAGTTATTTGAAACAAAAACCCGAGTCCTGGAAAAAACAAAAAAAGGAAAACTTTCGAGAGCACCCCAATAAAATCGATCAAATGAAAGAAAATTTGAGGTGTCACTTGAATGCTGTCGCTGACATTGACAGCAAGTTTTTCAATTTTCTGGACCAGTTTTTTTGCTCTGCTTTCTGCTTTGAATTTCAGGGCACATTTCACTTTGGTATCTGTGTGTCCCTCTGCTTTAGGATCCATTCTCATTGAGGTGTTTTTATTACTACTTTTTTAATTTTTGGCCGAGCTGGCGCGTGTTTGAGCTTCGAGTGTCTGTCCTATAAACGATTTGACCCAAAAGCCTTTGGGGTGTTTAAATATATAATTAATTTTAGATGCTGAATTAATTATTCGTCCATACACAAATGCAAACTCTAAATAAATAAAAAATTTGGCTGCCTATTCGCTTGATATTAATTTGCATAATTACTTAAATGAGATGCGTAATTGGTATAAATTGCTGCAACATATCTCATTGAATACATTTTTAATCAGGCAAATGCATTAAATATACGCTGTACTTTGTTTTTTAATTTTTCGAGTGCTAGCTTTATTTCCCATTCGATTTTTTGCGGCGCTAATTCGACAGATGTTGGGCTTACTGAGCGTTTAAGCATTTTTTGCATCATTAATGATGCAAAGCTATTTGCCCCAGGCTTTATTAAATACACGTGCTATTAAATTCACATTCCACTCTTGTTTTTTTAAAGCCAGAAGTCGTAGTTCGTAATTTAGAATGTCAAATAATCGAAAAATGGTTTGCCCTAGTATATAGATAATATGTTGAGTACTTACTGCGGTCATACTCCACTTTAAAGCCCGCTCTTATTTCGTCGCTGGCCAGAGGATCCAGTCGAAAGGTGAAGGGTCCTCCATTGCCCCTTAGTCGATCATCGGGATCCTTGGCGGCCACCTCCAGAATTTTCTTACCAGACACATTCTCAGGTAAGGTGGGCCTATAATCCTGGGCAAAAGTCGGTGCATTGTCATTGACATCCTTTACTATCACGGTCAGAGTTGCGGTTGCCGTTCGCGCAGGACTTCCATCGTCAATGGCCAAAATCTGAATATGGTGCCGATCCTGAGTTTCCCGATCCAAAGGCCTTTGTATGCTCACTGCTCCTCTGTCACTGATGGCAAATTGTCTCTTGCGATTCGTGGAGCGAACTATTTTGTAAGCTACTTTGGAGTGACCCGCCTGGTCGGCATCCGTGGCCTTAAATTGCTCGAGGACGGTGCCAACTTTCGTATCCTCATAGATGGACACCTCTATGTGCTCCCGATCGAATTTTGGCACATTGTCGTTGATGTCCCGCAGCTTCACCACCACCCATGAATAGGCCACGTGATACTTGTCACTTCCACCGGGGCCATCATCGCCCTTATCGTTGACCTGGATGCGGAACCGGAACCCACTACTTTGCAGCGGATCCTCGTAGTCCAAGGGCTGTATGATTTTCAGTGAGCCCGTTCCATCGCCATTCCGAACCATCGCAAATTTATCCGCCCCGAAACCACTGTTCGGCACCACCTTGTATTGGAATGTGTTCGTTTCGTCCTCATCCTGAACCGTCACCGTGAGAATGGGCGTCTCTGGGATGTAAGTGCCATTCGTTTCGTCCACCTCCGTAACCCACTCGTCCTTGGTGAACTGCGGCGGCATGTCGTTGAGGTCCTTGACGCGAATGGAGGCGGTGCCAGTACCTGCAAATTGGACAGCAAACAAGTCGGACGAAGTGCGTCAGTTGGGCGTCCATAACAGACAGATGCAGTGGGAGACAAATTGGCACATTACTGGGGACCATTGATATATAGTAATTGGTTGTGCGAAGGATCACACCCTAGCTCGTTATTAAAATATGAATATATATATACAAGTCCTTTGCGTTCTTAGATACAGACATCTTATAAGCTTCGGATAAGGCTAAAGCGAATCAATGAGTGCTGTCCGCTTCTGAGAACTGCTACTTAGACCCACAGCAGCCACACCAATCAACTGGCCCGTGTGCTCACACCACTCACCTTTGAGTCCACCGCCGTCCATGGCCACCACCTGGATGGAGTAGTCGGGCGTTCGCTCCCTGTCCAGACAACAGACAGCCGTTTTGATGAGTCCCGTCTCCGGCTCGATTTCAAAGATGGGCGCCCCCGTCTCCTCCTCGATGACGTTCTTCTCAATCGAGTAGATTAGCTTGGCATTGGTGCTCTCGTTGGGATCGTCGTAGTCGACGGCGGACATGGTCATCACCGAGCTGCCGGCGGTGCCGTTCTCGGTCACGTTACCAAAGTAGATGCCCTGCGGAAACTGCGGCGCATTGTCGTTGATGTCCTTCAGGTTCACCTGGATGTCCGCATAGCCTACCAGCCCTTCGCCGCCCTCGTCCTGCGCAAACACTGTGAAGCGCCACTGTGGCCTCCCATTGGGCTGATCTCTGTCCAGGGGCTGTGGATGCGGAAATACACAAGAATTATTTACTAACTGGACCTAAAAGAAAGCACCGATTCAGTGTACAAACATAATTTCAATGTGCTTTTTCGAACCATCTCTTCTCATTTTCATTTGAGTTGTTTTCTGTAATATGACTTATTTTGGCCAGCTTGGGACTATCCGTTTTCTTGGAGTGTAAGGCAAGGAGATTTGATTTGGCATCTGTTTGTTTGTTTGCAAATTATTTTATGCCCCTTGGTAAATTGTAACTGAGCCACAGCCACAGCCACAGTCGAAGACCTTGGAAACCCTTGAGCCCTTGGCCATCGCTTGTTGTTTGCTCCTAATCTGGCTTTGGTGGCATTGCGATTGTAGGTGGTCTTAACACAGAAGTCTGTTATTAGATTTCTCATTAAATGAGTTATCCACACGAAATTGCATTGGCAATGGCGAAATAAAAGCCATCCATTCGATGAAAATTCCCCTCCGCATTTGTTGTGCTGTGTTTGTGTGTTTGTGTGTGCCACTGTGTTGGACCTGTCAACCTTTTGGTCTTGGCCTGGCTTTGGCCCTATTCAAATTACCCTTAAACATTGCTTACTCAGCTAATGCATAGAGAACACACTTGGAATGTATTCAATGTGCTGGTATGTGTGGTCGGCTTGAAGGACAATTTGCCTTTACGATGAATTAATTCTGTAGTCTTATTGAAGTAAATGAAAGCTAAGACTTGTATTTATTCTGAGGATACAGGAAAATCTTCATATCTTATTTCTACGAGCATATTTAAGTGGTCAAGAAGGCCGTAGAACAAGGGAGGTATATTTGTAAGTAAATCGAATGCAAGATGATGTTAAATATGTAATATACATAATATATCCTGATGCTATTAGCCTTACTGGCACTGAAACAAATGTATGTTTAAGTATTGCGTATAATACAATATACGATTCAATAAATCTTTAGTGTTTTCTGATGTTTTCTAAGTGACTCAGATTTCATGCCATTTTTTTAGTAGCTAACCAGACAACCCATTTGATTGACATTCTCTCAGCTGTCTGCAAACAAACTTTAAAACCCGGCGCGCTCAATTAAAACAGGAAAAAATTGGCTTTAATGCCACGTGACACGTAATGCAATCGCAATTACAAATTAAAAGCCGTCAGGCAGTCGGCCAGTGGCATCCGCCAATCGAAGGACTCGTGGCCCTCCAACTGAACTCTTTTTTCCAAGCCCATTTTGCCGCTTGATTTTACACACAATTTTATGCCAGCCAACCGCGCGCCAATAACGAACGACGAACGTCATTTACATGTGGTCGGTTGTAGAGCGTCAAAACCACAAATGCCACATGCTGCCGCTGCCCCGCCCCCTGCCCCCTGCCGCCCACCGCCCACTCTTAACCCTATCGCATCAGCGAACTGCCCCATCCGCCAGCAATAAAACAAATAAAGCGAACCGCCAGCGGCAACATTTGAACATTTTATGCAGAATGCGAATCGGAGTGGGGTTTTTTGTGGCTCGTACTTTGAAAGGCTTCGGGATGCCCAATAGTGTTGGCGCCCATTTTCCAGCTAGAATCTTGGTTTTAGAAAAATCAGTAATATTTCTCTTTATGTCTCTTTAGGATAATATAAGAATTGTTCGTGATAACAAGTCTGACACAGAACATATTGGCATCGCGATTGGGATACTTGCCTATTTATAATTACATGATTGAAATTACACGATTTAAATCCCATGATCAAATGATCTTCTGGAGGCCATTGAAGTCAATAAAGTTATTTTAATAGAGTTTACATAGCATCTAAGCTTGTTGGCTAGCAGCACTGAAACATGTGCGTTCCGCGCCACTTTGACTTTTTTTATTATCTTTGTCTGAAATTAATTGGAGTCTATGTATCTGACAACCGACGGTGGCAGTTTTTTGCATCTAAATGAGATTACTTTTTGTTCGTTCAGGCAGCATTGTGAGTGCGATTGTGTGTGCGGTCTGTCACAGTTTTAAATTAATCATACGCCACCGAACCGCGTGAAGAGCTTTATAATTTACAAAAGTCGCACAACGCAGCGTGGCGAGGGATGTCAACAATGGAAAAGCGAGGAAGAGTGGTAAATATGAACGCGTTTCAATCTTTTTCGGTTATGAAAGGAGTGTCGGTGAAAAACCTTAAAGCGCTGTCAAGTCGCTTAATTTGGCTAGGAACAATCGATTCTAAAGAAGCTCAAAGCTTAAAACAACTAAATAACTTTTAAAACTAAAGTTTTCAAATAAAATAATATACAAGTGTTTTCGAACGCCCATTAAATATGTTGTGTTTTCCTGAACTTGGTCAAAACTCTCCCAAGATTATAATGTCATTCCACGGCATTTATTTAGGGTGTATTCAGTTCCATATCGCTGGGACCCTCTCACTTTTTAGCTGTTCACTCCTCACACAATATAAACAATATGAAGCGCCATTGTGCGAGTGTAAAGTGTGGCTCAATTTTAAACGGCCAGGGGAAAGCCCCTGTCAAAAAAGTAGGCTCCCGGGGCTTATAGAGCACGTACCCCCGAGCATGGTCACAAAGGAAAAAGTTATTTCCCCGTTTTTGTTCCAGCTTTTTTCGAGTTGCGCGCCATTTGCACGGTTTGCTGTTAAGGGGGCCGTCGCGAAATTTTAACTGGCTTTCATTACGCTCGTTTTACGAGGGGACTCGAAATTGGCATCTGTTTAAAAAGGAACGTGAGGTGAACGGGCGCCCACTTACCTTGAGAACAAAAATATCGCCCGTCGTGCGATTTATATCAAATTTACTATTCGCTGGATTATCAGGGTCGATGCCCTGGCCAGTCAGGAAATATACAATATTTATTGGTCTATCTACATCGCCATCGGTGGCTGTGACCTGCAACGAAATGGAAAAGAAAATGGTTAGTAACAGGAACTGCACTATGCGGTGGGGATAAGGATTCAGATGGGGGGAAGCTGAACTGGACGCTGCTTACAAAATTGGTGGCTATAAATCAAATATGCAAATGAGCCAAATGCTTTAAATGTCCAATAAAGGGCAACGTGAAAGTCGAACCGGGGAAAGTGCGGAGGGGGCTGGAAAATCTGGACGGTGGGCGTGGTAGGTGTTTTTCCTTTAGCCCGTAAGATTGCTTGTAAATTTATGCTTCGATTTTTTGCACATTTTTTTCGACCCTCTACCGATGGCAAAATATTTTCTGGCAAAAAAGGAATGAAATGCTAATAAAACCGAGATTTATGTAATTATTCAATCGGATTTCGGTTTATTCTCTTGTTTTAATGTTTTTATTTTGTTTCGTTTTCGCTTTGTGATTGGTAAATTAAATCAGCATTTAGGACCATTTTCTTGGAATTTTTGATCATAGGCAAAATGGTTATCGACTTCGATTGGGATTTCTGGGGGACTGAGCAATTGAATAAAATCAACTAAATTGAATAGTACTGCAATGCTTCCCGTGCCTTGGGCAACAATAATATTCTTGAAAATTCCTAAAGAATTTTAATTGCTCTAGTCCTTTTAGAAATAATAGGTATAAGAAGTGAATGACTGAATAGAAGGAACACTTACAACTTCTTGTAATCGCTTCTTAACAACAAGCAAGAAAGCGAAGTAAGGCTTAAGGATAAAAGGGACACAGTAAAAAACTGTGATGTGAAATGCTTAAGCGATGCAAGTTCCATTAATAATGATAAAAATCTCTTCAAAAAGAGCTAAAGATTGCTAAAGAGCTAAATAATTGACATTGTAACTCGAAATTATAGATAATTTAGTATCAATAAAATGAAAAAGAATTTAACCAGTCACTGAATAAAAGAACTTTCTCTCTGTGGAACAACTGCAAGCTTTTTACCTATGGGAGAACAACGGAAGAGTAGATCCTTCAAACAGTTGTCATGTCAATTAAAAGCAATAATTGCCTTGTTCAGTTTGAATCTTATCTCTCTGCCTTTGTCGTGTGCAAAGTGGAGTATCTGCGTGGATTGTCTGTGCAAATTGTGGAAACAAAACGAACGTTATGCATGTGTGCAACCCATTTTCTATTATAATGAAAGAAAACCGAGTTGGATTACAACCAAACTTGTAGCAATATCCTCTGGGTCCTTGGTCCATTAAATCATCGTCACGTGTTAAGTGCCTGCCATTTCCACCATTCCCATTCTCAGCTTCCATCCGCTGCACATTCACAATGCGACAATTTACGTTAAATGTTGAACACAATTTGATATGACAAAAGAGTTGTCTACGTGCCATCATTGTGCCCATTATAACCGCCCCGCCCATTTCGGACGCGGAAGCGATCCTTCGAGCAGAGTGCGCCATTGTCCTTGCGCCAGGACGCCACCACGCCACCACACTGCCACACATTCCACCCGCCTACACTTATGGGCGTAATTGAAATGCCTTGCCAGCCAAAACTCAAACACAGAATCCTCGCCAGAGCTGCGCTTTATATAAAAAATATTTGCATTTCATTTTCCAAGCACAGAAATCAATTTGGTCCGAAGGTGTCGGCGACAGCAAACGCATTCCATTCACCTTGTATCTGTGCAACTGCAGCACATACTTGTACACATGTACGCAGCAAGGACATATATCCTCCATAATGGGACTGCCGTGACAATGCTCCTCCGGCCGCACTTTGGCCCGCCATAAATGTGTAATTAAAAATTCGCCTTGTTTTTCAACGTTTCTTGTTTATTGGTTTGGGCATGACCGCTGAGCTGTGCAATTTTAATTTGTATTTAATGTTAAAGGAATATGAACAAGTTGCCATTAATGAAATGCTCTTGGAAATAAGTGCGCGTAATAAATCATTCAAATGTCCCTTTCGGTTATTAATAAAGCTGCCCTAATAAAAACAGCAAATATTAAATATAAAACGCAATAAACTAGGCAACTGCAGTCCATTAAACCATTTGCTTAGAGTATATTTGACCCTGTTTGATATCAATTTGTGAAAAAATAATCATAGCACTTATATGGCCTAACATTTTTGCCATTTCACTGATTTGCCAGTACTTCACTTCAGTACTGCACTCGTAATAAAGTGTATTCAAATGTTGATGTGGCCATAAACTCGACTTTTGCACACTGGCCTTTATGTTGGTAACTGATGGCTTGAATGAAAGTCGCTTGTGAAAATATATGTGGGAGTGGTCTGTGTGCGGAGCCATGAAGTTGATGAATGTATTTGCGCTTGTGTACGCATTTTACTGCCGCGGCGAAACTATCACGTTGTTATTAATGAATGAGTATTTATGCATATTTACGGCTGAATTGCCCCACGCAGTTGCAAGTGCAGAATTTTCCCCGCTTGTATTCCTTTTCTCAGCCACTATTCGTTCGCCACTTGAGTTTCCCAGCCTATTGTGTTTGCCCTCGGCCTGTTTTTCTTTCTCTTTTTTATCGCCCAGCTTCTGGCACTTTATGCAAATTTCACGTATTGAATGTGTTGTTTTCGCTCGCTGGTATTTATATTTAAATTGCACAAAGTCAATAAGGCGATAAGAGTTGCCCTGATAAGTAGGCAATGGTTTTTCAACTGAATACTAACCTGCAGAATGCGTTTGGGCAGATTGCGATCGTCTTCCTCAGTGATTTGTGTACGATATGTTTGACGATCGAATACCGGTGGATTATCGTTGACATCGCGAACGTTGATCACAACGGTGGTGTAATTATTTTTGCGATTGCGAGTTGCCTCCAGGCGCAGTTCGTACTGTAAGATACAATAATTATTGCTTTATTGTAGCTCAACTGTTGGATAATGCATATATTTGGTTTTTAAATTAAGAAGTGCCTAATTTCCCATTTTAACATTTTAGAGCTTCTGTCCAGCCAGGCATAACTAATTAAGCAATTTAATAATTTAAACGAATTTCAACTGTCACTAGCACTACTTCAGCACAGAGTAAACTTTTCGCATAATCTAGCGTAAACGTTTCGCAGTAAAAATATATTTATCGCTATTTGCAACGGACACTTTTTGTGAATTAGAAAGAAGACAATGCCCATCAGCAAAACTGAATTATTTCAACTACCAGGCTGCCGCTGCTGTGTTGCAATTTGAACAACAAAAGCCAAATTCGCATGAATGGTTTGCGAAATTTTTTTCCACGGCTGAAACAAAAGAAAGTGAAAAACAGTAGTACCAAGTACGAAATTGGCAACACATGTTCCGGGAGCTGAGGCTGGTTGTTTTGGCCGTTGTGGCACTGCCACCGCTTGTTGCATGGCTGGATATTGACAGCTACACGGATTTTCAGTCCTGTTTGGGGTGCCAAAACAAGTTGCGTATAGGTGATGACTATGCGAAGCAGGGTGCGGATTTCTGTCTTCCACACAGAAAAAATGTTTGATATTTCTCTTTATGATTATTTACAGGATTTCGGATTCAAGTGCACTAATATAAAATTTTTCATAGAAACATTTACTTCATCTTCGGGGTAAAGTGCTTAGCTTAGAAGTAAATTGGAAGTCGTTTCATATATAGCAAGAACCCTTTACTGATTTTTCTGAGTGATAGAGTGCGTTGGCAATCACGTTAAAAATGCGCAATGGGAAATGTAACGCCAGCTGTCTGTATATATCCTCTGTACCCCAGAAGTTTTTTGAGATAGAAATGCTACATGTAAGAGTTTTTTCCGTTTTTTCTGGATTAATTTTTGTATACGCCTTGGCTCGCCTGGTCGAAAGTTTGGCGAACCCCCCGAAAAGTTTTGCATAGTTTTACATATTTTCCTTTTTTGTTGTTCATCGCCAAAGCGGGAAAATATATAAATTATGCATGCAACAGAAAGTTAGGACCTAGTACAAGAAACTAGGACTAAGAAAAATGTGCACCAACTTGTAGACAAGTGGATACACAAACCAAAACATGTGGCATCAATAATTCATTTGTATAGTTTTTGAAATAAAAACTCCTGTTACATCCTCCTAAAGGGCGTTTTTACTTTTCAAATTACTTATAGCACTACTTAAATATATTCTAAAATTTGTATTAAAAAAGATAACATTTTTTTTCAGCTTAGACTAGTTTTGCAGCAAAAACCATACTTTCAGCAGCTGCGGCAGTCGCAGAGTAGTCGACTACTTACCCTTGGCCTCGTTTCGTAGTCAAGTGGACTTGCCACGTAGATGACACCGGTGGTGTTCTGCACGGCAAATGCATTGCCTATGTTACCGCCTGTGATCTGGTATCGAATATTCGTCGCTGCAAAGAGATAATGGGAGCATGACGTCAGAAGAGATTAAATTCAACTCAAGGGGTAATTCAATTGGGTGACAAAGTACTCGCGGAGCACCCGGCGTATGCGAAATGAAAATGAATCAAATTTTAGTAAAATAGGATTTTCCATTCCTAATAGGATTGTCAGTCGAAAGGGCTGCGTTAATTAAATTCTGTAAAGAATTAAGTTCTCTATTTTATCAACGGATTGTCTTTTATTTAACTAATCGAATGGTTGTCTAACTCTTTCCGAAGTTAAAAAGATATTGCCCAACTTAGCCCACTAGGCTCCTTCCAAACAAATTTGCATGCCTCAAGATCAAAAAACAATGAACAAAGTCAAAGAGGAACAAAATGGCAGCCGCGGAGGTAGCTGAAATAATTAAGTTCATTAAAAAACATTTTCCCCCACGAGCACAAGGGACCACAGGGAGCACAAGGACTTGCCCCAATGTTTCATAAGAATGCCAGGCACAACAAGATGCCATATAATTTACTTATTTCATGTTTAAACAGCCTGCAAAAGTGTTGTCTTTGCTGGCGGAATATGGAAATGCTCTCATATGTGACAACCAGGACACGTCTGGAGGGAGCATGAGGGAGCAGTGGGGGAAAAGTGGGGGAAAAGCGTGTGGAAAACAGGAGGTGGGGCTGACGTTGCCACATTGTCTGTGCATTTATGCGGAAATGTGAAAGGCAAACATTAGCGTAAATTAGCGACGCGTAAATCGCTTAACCTGCTCGACTAGCTGCGCACGGGAAGGGAACTGGATGAGCAGGATGTCAGGAAGCTGGAGTTTTGAGCCATTAAAAGTTGGCCACTTTTGCTGTTTGTGGGCCATAATAGCTTTCTGCTCAATTAAGGCATTAGTTGGAGAGCTGATCAGAAAGTTTCGTGCAGCTTTACAAACAGATTTCTACATTCATTTAAAGCATTACAAGTAATTTGTGTTGGCACAAATATGTATGATACAATATAAATCCAGTTTATTACCGAGAGATATTATTTTATTCTCAGATAACCAACATATACATAAACGAAAAAATTAAAAATATAATAACACCAAACACAACATTAAAGACTACGACAAATAAGTGGTCTTGTGTTCACATTCTCGCTGCAATTGGTCGTGGTTGAACTTGATAAATGTATCATACTGCTCTGCCATTCTTTGAGTCAATGCTAGTTCATATTCCTGCACAACTCGATCATCGCATCGTTTCATCAGCTCAGAACAAATAAACATTAACTGCCGATAGGAAAATAGTTTTCGGTTATCTTCAGTTTCTGATTTGGCCGCCGGAATCTCTGATTTTGGGCAACCTTCCTCCGAATCACTGGCGTCAGAGTCAGGCAGTACTGGCAAGCCCATCAAATAATCATTTGGAATCTTTGGCTCCGTGCTTATTTTGAACTTCCTTTCTATGATCTGATATTTTGCTCGTTTTGCGCAAAAATTATCTGGTGAGTTTTCCTCCCAGGGAACAGATCGCTTTCGCGAAATGCGATTGTTGCCTGGAATTCGTGGGCTTGATAATTTTTCTAATTTCATTTCGATGCAGTTGCTACAAAATCGTTTTGACTGATTAATATGCTCAGATTCTTCTCTTAGAGTCAGTGAACGTTTCCGCTTTATGTGATTCATACCTGGAGTAAATAGGTACGTATATTTTTTGGGTCTTAATATATTTCTTATTTATTCTGTTCACTTCCAATTTGACAGGTAAACTGCCCAGCTTACTGTGCTCTGTTGCGAAATAATTTTCCCAGCACTTACACAGAAATATACAACTTCAACTAAATAGGTGGACATTTATATAGGAAACTCCTCTGGCCACCCTCGCTTGAAACATTAATTATAGATTCTTTTTCCACTTTAACTGTCAGCCCATCGCTAGGAACCTATTTATTTTTGTTTTTTTAATTTTCCAAAACGTGAGCATCAGGAGTAGCTCAGGCGAGTCGTGTTAAGTAGTCCCCAGTCTTAGACAATGACGTTTACAATTTACGATGTCATGACGCCATTTTTAAATCACTGATAATGATAATAAATTAATATACAGACACCAGAGACCCAGACTCACATGGGAGCTGAAAAGGCAGTAAAAGTATCCCTGCTCGTCCTTCAGCAGCTTTGCGATGTTGTTTGTGTACTTATTTAGCATGAAAAGTCATTTTAAAAGTGGAGGGAAAAACATTCTCGCTTTTTGCCATGGTTTTTTGATCTTTCTAGGTCTTCGTGTGCTCATTTTTTGTTCTTTCCCGTTTATTTGAAGGTTGGGGTGCCGGATAAGTGTTTTTATGGCACACACTGAAAGGTTGTGCGACTCCTTGTTTTTCTCCTACCCGGCCCTTGGGTGGGTCTTTAAAAATGAGTTCTTAAAGCGATGGGATGCTGGGGAAATAAATGAGCTTCGTTTGGATGCCTCGAACTCTTCGAACTGGTTCGAATGTGACAACATTTGGCCAACACATGGCAACCCCTCGCGCACATTCAAATAAATAATCTTTTCGCTCATAAATTCGCAATGTGGCACGCAATGGCACAAAAGTTTTACAGCTCCATTCGTATTTCAAAGTAGACACAGACATGGCAACGCAAGGAGTCGGTGAGAGTAAGAGATTTGTCCTGACCCTGTTTTGTTGGACCCAGCCTTCAATTCATATTCCATGCGACTCACACATATAGCTACAATCCCCTTCCTTCAGCAAGTAGTTCAAAATTTTCGTGTGCCATTTATTTTTCCGTTCGCCGGCTCTGTTTCCTTTTCTGGTGGGATTACACTGGGCTTTGTTGCTGTGGCAGCATATACCTTTGAATTTAACTAAGAACAAGCACATAGATAAACATAGTAATTATAGTGAATGAACTCGATTCCCTTATTTTGGTAATTAAATAAACACAGATATGCGGGTGTTTCAATGCTTTTTGTTTTGTTTTCACATAGACGGTTGCCTTGCAATTGAATGTTGTAATAGAATTTTCATATTTTATTCAGTGGCCGGTATAACTATTAAACTGTATAGCCTAGCTTTTATTTCTTCTAGACATACCATACCATGTATTTTGTATGCAAAACATGGATTTGTATCAGTGTGCCTTTGTTGTTTCTGCTCTGGTTTTTTCCAATTCGGGTTAATGCTTTTTTCGCAGTCGTCGCGACGGCGACAACAAGGACTCGCAGTCTTCTCGAATGTCCTTTGAGAGCTGTTGCTGTTGGGGAGACTGATTCAAGTAAAGACAAAGTTCTACCCACGAGTTTGCCGTTGCCGTCGGTTGGGAAAAAGTTGTTAAACGCTTTCAATGAGATTTTGAATGTTTTTCGTGCTGCAAATCGTATCTGCCGCAGACGAAGAACTTACGCCATCCCCCGCCGTATTAACAATAATAATTTCCGCATGGGAATCAATAGACAGATATACAAATACTCATATTAGATGCTCACTTGCTCTCCGCTTGTGCTTGTCTTTGTATTTTATGGATTTATGCATGACTATGAGCTGTATCTTCTGCTGTGTATCTTTGGCCTTACTGAGCTCTTATATTTTTGTAATATTTCGTAAATATTTGCGGTACATGGCCGATGCCTAATAATATTTGACAATGGCTGCACACACAAACAGACATTACTACGTATTAAAATAAATAAATGTTGTAAATGTCTATTATGACTGCGAGGAAGGGGCAAATATTCTGGATCGCCTGTTTAATATTTATGCATAAATTTGCTGTGGTCCCATGAGGGAAATTGCCAAATTGGTTTTTACCAAATGTTTATGACGTCCTCTATGCACGAGTATTTTTCCGTATAATTTTTTCTGGCTTAAGGAAGGAAGTCATAGGATTCATGACTCAAGTCGACTGAAAATGATTTGACAAAATCTAGCAATAATGACTGTCTTTTACAGCCTTTACATACATAAGTTTGCGAGAAGTGAGAAGGTAAATGGATTGCGGGCTATAGCTATATTGTTTACTTTAGAGTTTCTTGGCTAATTTAATTTTATTATGGTTTTTGAAAAGTTGTACATTTCACAAATAAAGAAAAAGAGCCTAAATTGAGCTTAACGAATATTTTAATTTTAACTACAATTTTGTTGTAAATTGAAAACGTAATGGGACAAATGAATGAAGGCAATTTTAGCTGTGCTCTGAATAAATTACTAGTTTCATGTCCTTAATTGCTCGAATATTTCTTGCATATACATATATCCAAAGCCCACTGACATTCCTGATGGACTTTCTCCCTGGAGCAGCTGTCTACGTCTTAATGTCTTTCAAATGTAAATCGTTGGACATGATATGAGCGCATGCCCCGGGTCAATTACAATTAAAGAAACACTTAATTAAATCAATTGGCAGTTTATGCTATATATACTCTTTTGCTCGAGCGATTAAGTACGAATATCCTCGCCCGAGCAAAAATCTAATTTCAATAGAAGGACAAAATCACATTAGGCCTGATGAAGGGACGTTTATTGTTTATGTGTAGTGCTTGGGTTGTTGTTACTCACACTCATTGTGATCCTTGGCGTTGACAGTGAGGACAGTGCTCTGCAAATCGGCATTTTCATCGATTTCAGTCTCGTACAGAAATCTATCGAAATATGGCGGTGAATCGTTTTTGTCGGCAATACCAATGCGTACAAATTTTGTAACTGCAAATAAGAAAGAAAAAGAAAGCCAGCCTTGATATAGATACTCACAGATACTCTTACTGTATAAATAGATTGCTCGGTTGCATGCTCTTAGTGTATGAAATGCCAATAAGCAGCATTAATTATGGCAAATTTATTGATTGACAAATTGCGCGCGTGCCTCTTTGCGGTCGAGGAAGTCGTATACTTATGCGTTTATGTTCGAAACGTGGCAGGCATAAAAGAGGGCAGTACTTCCACCCCACATGCGTACTATATATCACCGAATTTACTTCAAGTATACACCGAAAATATCAGGGCTATCAATTAGAAATTACTAAAAATGTAAGCTAGCATCTTACATGTAACTTTAAAGTATTTGGTGCAGAATCGTGTGATTTTTCAAATTTCTCAGCTTGTTAGGAAAACTGCTGGCATGTTAGCCCTTTGCTACACCAGATAAAGCCCTCAGTGAAATATACTGAACCATAGGAATATGCTGCGCAACTAAAAGCCAGCAGAAATCACAAAACAATCTACTCAAAGTGAAAAGTTTGTGTCCCCCTTTTCCAGTCGAAAGCAAAATAAGTTTTCATAAAGTGCACTGCGAATTGAGGGATTTTCCGGCTCTCCCTTCGGCAAACGCAGCTACGTTTGTTTGCCTCACTTTATTTGCTTATTTCCTGCTAATGTCTTGCCAAACAAAACTTTCTGGATAGTTGTGTAGTTTAGTTTTCGGAACGGGAACGTGCGTTAATGAGTTTTATTCGACTAGGAGAGCTCAAGGCAAATACGGAAGGAAATTGCACTCCACAAATAAGCGTGGATTTTTGCAATCCTGCCAGAGAAAGTTTATAAACTTTGGTGAGCTCCACAATTGTTTCCCGAAAAATATGATTTTCATGTAAAAGTCGGTTCATTAAGAACGGAATCCTCTCGAGCTCTTAAGTTTCCCTAAATAATTAAGTTCCATTTTATTTGACTACTAAAATATTTTCGGGATGCCTCTTTTGTCAACCCAACTAACAAAGTGGTTTAAGCGTTCAATTTACCCAAGAGCCTGAGAATGACTTGAAAGGATCTCCGTCTTGTTTTCGTATCGGTTCCCACATGCCGGAGGCAATAATCTGTTTTTACAAAAAACACGAAATGCTTTCACAACTTGGGCATAAATATGAGCACGATAAAATGTATACATTCAACAAGAATAAATGTTCGTTAACAGCCACAGTAGCCAGAGTGAACTGTCGGTCCCACAACATAAAAGAGCAGAGCTGCAGTAAGGAAAAGGAAGAATTCAAATTGCCAGCAGGCGCACGATGCGTATACGTAATATTGAAAAGACGACAGTTGCCGGGGCAATCCTTTCGGCTGCAAAAGCATTCTGTGAAATGCACTCGGCATGTATAGTCTTTAATAGTTTTTAAAGATGCTTTCGAAATTTGCAAGTCTTAGCAAGAAATATACGTTTTCGCAAAAGTGCAATTTATTTATCCTTTGGGCAAACATAAAGCACATATGAGCAAGGTCCTTGAGATCCTCTTTATAATTTTTACGCTTGTTTTGCAATTGACATAAATTGGAAATACAATTTTTGGTGGCCAAGCGGAAGTGTTGAGCAAACCTTCGATATTTGACTTGCCTAAGCATTACAGAATCTGTTGAACGTTTAATTTGTTTTTGCTTTGTTTGCCTTGCAAGTACCTTAATTGAATTTTGTCAAAAGTTACAGGACTGAGAAGTTTGAGAAACCAATTAAATATTCGTCGGGAAATTCGAAATGCAATGAGCTTTCACCCTTTTTCTGTGAAGTGTGTTTATGGCAGCGCTCCTACAAATTCTCCGCTCACACACATCATTCATTCGTTTGAATGCTCAAGTCAACTTGAAATTCTTTTCATGAGGTGGAAAAAAAATACAAAGCTGAATGAACTCCTCGCCTTTCAGGTCTTTCATACTAAAGTATGGGCTAAGACAAATAGAATCTAATTTAGAATTTAGTTCTTTGCTTTACTTAGGTTGCAGGTAAGTCTAGCTATTACGTGTTAGTCCTTCCCTGGCCCAGAAAATGAAAGGAAATGAGAAATGAGCAAAACAAATACATACACACACACACTGGTTTTTTTGGGGGCATCAGCCCAAGCCAAAAGCTCGTATAAATAAGACCCCAAAAGGAAGGAAAAGCGAGTTGAGTGGAAAGCGTTTAGGAAGAAAACTCCAAGGACCCCATGCGTGTTGCTACAATATACTGAATAAATACAAACACATACGCAAACACGATGTGCACACATTGCTGGCAGTTGGAATTGCATTTCGCTGTGTTTTTTGCTTTCGCCCCCAGGTATCTTGACTTAATTTTTTGGCACTCTGTCATTATGGCTCAGTAAGCGGAAGGGTTGGCCTGCGAGTGGTCTATAGAGACTAGAAAAAGTCTGGAAAATGTATTTCCCGCAAAAAGAGTGTTCATCACTCTTTCAAGGAAAGTGAAACGTACTATGTATATGTCTGCTGTGTTAAGATTGTACAGGGAAACACTTCCTCTTTTTACGTAAACGATTTTTTAGCTTAACATCAACTTCGATCATTTATTAAGAAATAGTATCTAACACCAACTTCAACGTTATTTATCTAATCCCTCCATCTGTACGAGTATTATCTCTGTATTTTCACATTTCTTAACCCCTTGATGTGCCGCGTAGAAAAGCAAGGCTTGGAGCTCGGTTAAAGTGGCTGCCTTTTTGTTGGCGTTAAATTGAGCAGCAAAGTGGGCTGCGCCCAAGTCATCAGCCAGGTAGCATGCTCTCGCTTTTCCGCTTTTCCGCTTTTCGCCCGATTCCTCACACTTTCCAGCATTTTTCCATCGCTTGGCAGAGGGGCAGTCAAAAGGGCTCACTTTAAGCTATTAACGTGCAGGTGGAGGCGTGAGGCGGAAGGGGCGTGGCCGGGGGCAGTGGCAGTTGAGCTGCCGTCAGCTATTTATGGTCGCATAACTGGCACACTAACAAGCCCAGCCACGCCCCCTGCCCCATCTCCGCCCACCTGCTGGTGAGCCATATGTCAGTCCATGAATGACTGGCAGCTGGCACTATTTTTGTTTATTTTTTTCTCCTTTTTTGCAACCCCGTAAACATTTCACTATTTTATATGCTGCTTTAGAATTCTTTTTTGTTCTTATTTTTTTGTTTTTTGTTCAGCAAAGCAAAAGAAATAAAAACGGGGAGAAGGGAAAATGTGTGCAAAGTGGCGTCAAATGTCAGAGCTGTTCAAATCAGCCATGGAAAACACACAGATACACAAACGCAGACTCTCGCAAAGTCAGAAATAGTCAAAGTAGTTTTTGTGAGGCAAAAAAGGAAGCTACCTTTTCCAAAAGGCAACAAAGCGCATCACATTAAAACCGACAGAAAGGCGGGGAAAATGTGGAGCTCTTTCCCTTTGACAACTGAAAGCTTATTCCTTTTTGGATGTCATTCCTTGTATTTATATTTGATATAAGCTCTTCGATAGATCAATTTTTGAATAATATACTTTATACTTATATGGATTTGAAGGAATTTTTACGGTGCTTTTTAAAATGCTACTTGAATTTATGTTGAAATAATTGCTGTAGTATTCCAGTTTCACAGCTCATCAAAAATTCGGGCCATTTAAGTGATTAAGATTCAGCCACAAACTTCAAAGTGTGCTGGCATACAAAGAAAACCGAAATTGTCTTACTGGTGACCGAGGCCGTACTTTATGCCTTCGGCATAATTTACTTTGGCGGGAAATCTAGTTAAACAAACGCCCTCAAAGTTGTGCCGCAAATAAATAAATTACTAGTTTTAATTTGCTAATTAGTTTTCAGGGTGAATCGTTTGACATCAAAACAAACAGACAGATAAATAAACACGACCGAAAATGTGCAGAAGTAGAGTGCGAATAAATAGCCATAATGTTTTTGCGGCAATATTTTAATCCCCTAGGCGCTTAACACTTACACATACAAGCACCCACGTAAAACAACGCGTAATAAATTTGCAGTAAGTTTATGATAATCTTCTGTTGTGTTTACTCATGTACGTTAGATTAAGTTTTCGCTTAGTTTTCTGTGTAATATGCAAAAAGTTTTCGGTTATCCTAACTAAAACAAATATTGACAGAGATCGATGGTGCGGCGTGAAGTCCGGAAAATACCACCCAATTGTGCGTGTAAAAGTTTTTATTAGTTTAATGCCCCAAGTGTTGGCAGGCGGAAGAGGAAGGATGTAAACAGTGCGTATGCGTGATATGCCATGTGGCAAAAGTTTAAACTGCCTGACAGTTTTTACACGCCCATTATGTTGATGTATGATGAAAGCCATGGGTTCGGCTTTGTTGCGCTGCGCTTGTCAGCTGAGCATTTGCATAATGGCAACTCATTTGACTTCTGACATAAGTGATTGGGACACGGAGTTCTATAATTAGTTTCACCATTAATTTATTGCTGCCGTCGACGCACTATGTTCTTGCAAACAACTGCTGCTGACACTTGACAGTCGGCTAAAAATAATTTATTATTACTACACGTAATCGATAAAACCATAACATTTAAATTACATAAAAACGTATGATTTAGTATTCTGTCTTTCCGCTTCGCAATTATTAAGTTAGCTGTTGGTTTATACAAACCTGCCCCTTGCTGTGTTAGCCTAAAAACAAATCTCACAAGGGAAACCCTTAGCACAGACTCATCTCCTTCAAAAACAAAAAAACAAAGTACAATTAAATCCGTTAAATGAACTCGTTGAACCCCACGAAATTCAAATAATACCCTTGGACCCAGTCGGCCATGTATTCAATTCTCATTTTTTGTATCCAGTAACGTGCAGCTCATTAACTTTGATGATGGCCAGCTCGAATTTTTTCGGGCCCTTTGGCTTGGGCCTCTTTGTTGGGCTGAAATTTCAATTAAAACCGGGTCCAAGAGCGCGGAATATTTGTATTCATTAGCCAGCCCAATGATGACGATGATCATCGTTACCGACATCCGATGCCGGAAGTGACCTGCACTTCAGCTTTAGCCCCTGTGCTTTTCGCGAGTTAGCCAACACACAAAAAATTGTTAATTAAACTTATGAAATGTCTAGAAGATTTTTTTACCATTCACCTCCCCTGCACTGCGAAGCGCATTGAAATTCCTGTGAGTTTCCTTTCAGCAAGGACTAATTAAAAAGTGTGCGCGGCGGACAGTGACAAACAAAGCGACAAACAGCGAAACAAAATAATCCCTAAAAGCAGGGAAAAGTGTAGACAGTTCGGTGTACCGATATAAAAAAATATGGTGCTATTCCCTGACCCCCACCACAGCGCTGATGAGTTGACAAATATTTTGCCAGTCATAATGAGTTCTCGGGCAGCAGGACAGCAGGACTGGAGGACTGGAGGACAAGGTGAGGTGGAGACCTTGTTTATGGGCCTGGTTTTCACCGCTCTCATCGCCGCTGTTCATTAAGAAACAGGACGGTCCACCGCGGTGCACCGGCGTGTTAATTACGACCCACATCCGACTAGCGGGTTGGTTTTCATAGGGCTGTGATGACAGGGTTAATGGTGGAACAGCACCGAAAGCCGCAATTAAAAAGCCGGCTCCCAGAAATTGCACTTTTATCAGTGAGGATGTGTTGCGTATACGACATGTATGCCGTGCCACGGCTGGTGGTCGCCAATATTAAACGTCATCCTAATCGGAAATTCATTTAAAGTTTCGAAAGTCGCACTTCACAGTGCAGTCTGTCATTCTAGCAATTGGCTTAGTTTAAGACACCAGCAACTAATTATGCTCGATTACCGCTTTTTAAGTGGAATGTCTCTTACTCTAGGTCAACCTAATATTATAAATTTGGTACATTGACGCGTGGTTTTAATAAGATTCCCTAAAAAAGTAAGATATATTTTCATTAAATACAAGAACGTAGGTGAAACTTAGAAACATTTTTAATTAATTTTTTGTCTTTAGCCATATATCCGCCAGAGTGTTGGCTACATTCCTCATTGCGTGGAGAGGAAATCACCTAAGAAAATTGGGCCGGGAAACATGAATGCATATTTAAGGTAAGGAGCCACATCCCCGGAGGCGTTGTTAGCCAGGACCCCTCACGGGCCACGTGCAGACCCAGAATCTCAGACTCTTCCACTCTCGTCTCCGCAACAAATTACACTTCATGAAATTTTCACATGGCCATTTACATTGCCATAACGACGCTGGCTGGGACGCATGGGTAAATAATCATGTGCACTTATAAGTAGCTGCACAAAGAACGCAGATAGAGGGTATTCAAATGGCGGTACACACTTACCCAAATAGGTGCTATTTGTCAAAACCCAAAAGATTTTTAATGGATCGACCATAACTACGCAGTTTCAGTGGCAGCGAAAGCTATTTCGGCGGCTCTAAGCGAACAGACTGCTAAAAGTCGCAAAGCGTTGAGCAATTAATTTGCGTCGATTCGGGTGGCCAGCTGTTTTCCTTTCCTTCTTCTGCAGCGACACCTTTCCGCAATTTCCTGTGATTAAAATGATAAGTTTGCCTGTGCCAGCTCGCGATTCTCGAGCTTTCCGGTTTTGCCGTTCCCTTTGTTGATTTGCACTAGTTTTAATGAGTTGCTGCGGTGGTTGTTGCCTTTGAGGTATTTTTGCAATTTGCGCTGTGCACTTTTATGGCGTTCACACAAATCAAAACGCTGCGCGTGTTTCATAGTAGTTGGCATTAATATTCCGTTTGTACAACTCAAGCTATCATCTTGCACTCGGCGACTAGCTAGAAGCACAAGCCACCAAATATATTTTACATAAATTAAAATTTCACTTCGCGGCGCGACCAATTTTTTTCAATTTTTTACGCGGAGTTATATCTTCTTGGTTATGTCCTTGGCATGGCAATTAAAATTGTTCGTTTATTTATGTCAGCAACAATGTCTCGCACACACACTTTTCGCCATTATCCCCATTGCCAACATAATCCGTAGCTATTAAAAGCTTGTCACATTGTCAAAAACTCTAAGCAAGCTTTTCCAGCAGTTGCGGTCGTTTTCGAGGCCACTTAATTAGATTTGGTTAACACAAAGTTTTGTTTCCCAAAAATATGCAAGTAACTTTTAATGATTGACAAGGTTGGGTGAGGTTAACTAGTTGTGTAAAGAATAATTCTGATTTTGGTAACAGCATTATGGTCCTAATAACTCGTAAAGTTATATGATTATGATTGAATGTCGGGTCAAGTTTGGTTACTGAAGCAGTGAATGAAGAAATTCATTTCTATTTGGTTTCGTTCCTGGTGAATATTGATAACATTTATTAACAAAAGTATTCTATAAAGTTGCATTACTGGCATAGGACTTTACTTAATTTTATACAAAATAAGCTCTTAATCCCATTAAAAGTTGTTCATTACTTTTATTGCAACAGATTTGTTACTTAGAGGTCCAAGCTGCTGCCAAGGATATGCTCCATTTTTGGTAGAGCTCCAGGCGAGGCATAGCCTAAGTCCTAGCAATTAGAATTGCCAAACTTGCCTAGGAAATTCTCAAACGCTGCTCAAACAGTTGGCCATTAGCTAACTTGGGCCTAGACCAAACAAAAGCCGGCCAAGGCGGGCCAATTAACGCAGCTAAAGCTGCCCAAAACCCGCCCAAGGAGCTTTTTAGTCCTGGCCACAGCCTTGACCTTTATCCGGAGGCGTGGACAGGCTCCTAAATATTTAATTGTTTATGCTATAAGGGGTAATGGCGAAGCCTCGTTTCGCCGTCCAAGCCCCTCCAAATGTACTTTAACAATTTGGCCCACTGGGGAAGGACTTTTAATGGACAGCTGGCCGGCGGAGAAGCATCCACTTCTGCGTTGCGAAACGATTAAAGCCAAGGCAAAGTAATTAGTGACTCAATTGCTTCGCTCTGGCGCCGAGCACCGCATACAAATGGCCTGCTTGGACTTTGATGGGCTATTGGTGGTTTTGTCATAAGCCCGTAAGCCAAGCTGGCCAAATCAATTGCCAGCCAACTGGCACGCTGGAATATGAATAAAAATATAGAGCAGTCACTGCAAGAAAAGGATGTGCCTTAACGAAATTGTAATTAATAATAAATCAAAGGGCAAATGCTATTTTACATTATGTAACATATCTTATGTACATCAGACCTACGATGATGTTAAATCTCTAAAAGTGTCTTTGAGCCTTGAGATTGTTTTTTGCGCACCGCCCACATTATCCCAATTTCACAGCGATTTGCTGAGCAGCAGCCAAGCCGGGGAAAAAATTGAGGTCAGGGAAATTAGCGTCAGACTTGCCGTCTTTAAGTCATTTTGCCAGCTCTGTAATCCGCCTTTAAGCAATTTATGCAAATTTATGCAAGCTCCTGCTTAAACGGCAGCTGCTGCCTTGCAACGAATAAAACTGGAGATGGGAAATTGAAGTCGGCAAACAAGAGTTTTTCTTGTTTTCGGCCGGCTGTCTTGTGCTCCTTTGCCTGCCAAAAAGTTAAACATGCTCGTTTCTTAACTTTTCTTTGAAGCGGACCGAAGAAAAGAAAGCCTCAATGCAGCGCAAATTTTGAAATTGCACTTTTCCGGCCCCAGATGAAGTCGGCCAAAGCAAAAAAGAAAAATAACGAGGAGGAAGTGGGTAAAACTGTTGCCCAGCCCCGGCGGAAATACAAAAGCATAAACTTTCCGGCCAAAACTAACCGCACACTCTTCCGGGCGTCGGGGCTGCATGAGGGGTATGCGTCAGTCGAGAGTCCCGGGCCGACATTTGAAAGCGCCAAAATATAAAGCGCAAAATGTGGCGGAAGTTTAATGAATATAAACTTGCCCGATCCCACAAGCCTCCGCCCAAGACGGTGGACTTTGTGGTGGCAGGGGAAGGAAACCAGCCAAGTAAATTAGCCGAGTTCACTTGCGAGAAAATGGCTGGAGCACCGAAAGAAATGTGATATCTAGCAAATGGATGTGGAGTGACAAGTTTATGAAGACCACAGGAAATCAACTCGTTTATTTATGAAAAGCAGCTGCCACAACTTGTCGACCACCTGCTGAGTGGAGAGAAAATGCTGACAGTTGGTGTTTGGAAATGCCTCATCTTAAAGCAAAAAAATTCGAAATAAAGAAGAAAATAAGTGCAAACGCACGTAGAGTTTATTACAATACATATGTGAAACTGAAGAGTATTACAAGAGTTAGTTACAATTTCAAGTGACTTGGGGTTCTAGAGCAACGGATTTTGAATACAAGCTTTTATTTTCTTTTTCTTGAAAGGAAAAATGTAACTTTAATTTCACTAATAATTTTCTCTCTATTTCATTTATACATTTATTACAATCAGAAGGGCTTTTCACAAGTGGAGCGTAATCCATAGAAATAAGCATTGTTTAATGCAACACAAAGTGCACTTATGTGAAACTGAAAAATATTATAGCAGCATTAGTTGCAATTTCAAGTGACTTGGGATTCTAGAGCAACGGATTTTGAATGTGTTTTCTTGAAAAGAAAAATGTAACTTTAACTTCACTTGTTATTTTCTGTCTATTTCATTTATACATTATTTTTCCTTTTAAAACATTACAATCACGAGGGCTTTTCACAAGCTGGGCATAATCCACCGAACTAAGCATTGTTTAATGCAACACAAAGTGCACTTGATTGTCGCAATTGGAAAGTTGTCCCCAAAACTAAATCATGTACATATGTATCTACGCAGCTCCAGGGGATGATCCAAGGAATTAGCAGATAGAACCAAGTCGCAAAGCGCTTTTGCATTCGGGGAACCCCCGAGAATTTTGTTGCCTTTACTGCCGTTGTTGTTGGAAGCGTTGGTGCTGTCGAATGATGTTTGTTGTTGGCCGAACAAATGGCAAAAGTTTTCGCTTTGTTTTCACAATTGTTGACGTGCAATTCAAATGAGTTAACAACGCAAAAAGTGAGTGACCCACATAGCCACGCCAAAGCCAAAGCCAAAGCCAACATCTGGCGAACCAAGTTAAAAAAAAGCCGGGGAGCGGAATAATAAAAAATAAAATCGCATAAAGGAAGTAGGAAAAATATAAATGGAAAAACATGAAAACTTCAAGTTGTAAAAACAGCGAAGCCAGAACAAGCAGGCAACATATGTATGTCCTTATTGTTGTTGATGCTGTTCACAGTTGCTGTTCGCAGAACAACAAAGTGAATGAAGTCGGTCGGCAGATGGAAAAGTGGCTGGGCGGGGCGGGGAAAACAATTATAAGCAGCGTTTCCGGGGAAAACCCCAGCCAGCAGATTGCTGCCTGTTGCAGACAAACATCCATTCCATCCACTGGAGTGTTTGCACGCTCGCCGACGAGAAGTTCCCAGCGAAATTGCATCCTTAAAGAGCAACTTGGCAAGTGCATCAAATGCGCTTAACAATTCAATTAGCGAGACACTGCAAGACGGATGGGGCTTTGGCTCAAGTTTTCCGAGCTGGCAAACAAATGAAGCAGCAAATATGCGCACACGAAATAATCAATCGTCCCGGGGCCAACGGAACCCAAATAAAATGTAATTAATTACAGCTTGGTTTCTTTGTTTTGTGGTGGCCAACTTTCGCAGTTGGCCCAACTCCCCCAGCATTCATTTAAGATGTGCAGCTGCAGCTGAAGACATCCGACCGCAGGGAACAGGAGGCAGAAGCTCGGAAACTCTTGTTCCAGTAGTTCTTCGCCTGACGTTTGGCATAAGCAATTCCCGGGCTTAAAGGATTTTCCGGCGCCACCTTCGTGAGAGCATCCTGTTGAAAGCTGCAATTTGGAGCTTGGTAATTTGCCTTAAACTTTCGCCCGCAGTGGGATCGGTCGAAAACTGACTTATCTTAGACTTTGTATAGCTGGGTTTTACTACAGTCAACTGAATGCTTATCAAAATATCTCAGAAATACCTCTGAATTTTAATTAATTTCAAACTTAGCCTGTGTGCTTTTGAAAGTAATGTTCAATATTGAATATACTTCCTTTTTGTAGACCTGTGAGCTGTCTATTGGAGGTTTCCCAGTAACGGAATTCCACTTAAGATCAATAAAGTGCCACTCAAGAAGCAAAACATTATACAGCCGTAGGTCCGTTCAGTGAGCCTTAATCGTCTTATTATAAAGATACTCTACTGCGGCAGACGTGTCGTGTTGTCATGGCTATACAACAATCGACAGTTGGTGACTAATAAAATGAAATACCATAAAATCAGCAATACGACAGCCGTTTATGTGTGTTTCAGTGGGGCGAGAGGACAATTGCTGTGCTGGCGGAGCACTCGGCCGAAATAACTAACCGCAAGTGGAAACAGGACACCCGACACCAGAGGAGCCAAGGATCCAAGGAGTCCAGGACTCCAGGACTCCAGCAGCCCAGC